TGAAGACGTATTTGTATATTCATGTTCACTGCAGCATTAATCCCATTACCTATAAGTAGAAGGAACTTCAATGCTTTTCAATAGTCAAAAAAAATACTCATCATGGAATTTTTACTAAGTTTTTGTGACAAAAGTAATCCTATTGCACGGTATAACATGGATGAAACTGGGAACATTTTGCTTAGTGAAATAAGTCATGGGAAGGAGAAAAGGGGAGATGTTTTTGTAATGGGCATGGGTATTTCGTTCTTGCAATTGAAAGAGTTTTGGAGATCTGTTGCCCAAAATATAGACATGATTAACAGTAAAGTGCATGCAAAAGTATTAAGATGGAAAATTGCTTTATGTACTTTCGGCCAAAAATGAAAAATGAAAGAGAGGGAGAGAGAGAGAAAGAGAGAGAGAGAGACTCAGAGACAGAGACAGAGATTGATTCATTGCCTGCTCACAGTATCATGTACCTTCTCTTTTCCAAATAGAGGGCAAGGACAAGTACAATACAAAACTCACGGCCTAATCACGACTGCCAGAATCAGCATTGTCAAAGCAAGAACAAGTTTCCCATGAAATAGAAATGGCACCATACCAGCTGCAGCTTCATGCCTGCCTTGCTTTGGGTCGTGAAGAAAACCATTTATTAGGAGTAGAGCACTCGAGCACTCCTAAGTTAGCTGACTTAACTAAAATTCCTCCTAGCAAAGTGAGGAGTAGAGCCTGGGTAGTTGCTAATGCAGTGAGCTGCACTGGGGTATCCTGCAATGAAAATGATGTCCCTAGCTTGAAGCACAGGACAGTCCATTACAACAACAGAGACTAGATAAACCCATACCTCACACCTGGCTCCTGCACTCACCCCATTGTTACCCTAGGATAACATCTTGGAAATGCCTTAAGACTACTCTAAACTAGGGATATGGATAAAAGTTACCAAAAAGTTGCTAGGGCACAGCAAGAGACCTCACAGGAAGAACTATTGAAAAAGAGAAAGAAGTGAGCATGCTCCAAAGCTGAAACGCTGATAAAGAGTTAATGCTAAAGTCTAACCTGAATGTGATTATAAAACGGTACTCAAAAATTAATGCTTAGTATATGAATTCATAACTATGGAAAACACCGGCCAATTATGTTAGAAATGCTTGGAGAGATAAGCTAATAACTTTCGGTAAAAAGTGAAAAAAAGCAATACAATAAAAAACAGGAAGAAATAAATCAAGAATGGGAGGGTATTAATAGAAGCCATTCAACATTCAGTAATGAAAAACACCATGACTGAAATCACAAAACAGCATAAAATTTGAACACAATGAGTATGAATGCTTTTAACTTACATCATAGAAATAGCACAAAAGACTGGAATGCATGATTGATAGATGAAACAGATATGGGAAACAAGTTTTTTTTTTTTTTTTTAGAATTGAAGAATTATAACTTTTTGAATTATAAGTTCATTACAAGTTTCTAACAGGTAAAGACAGTTTAGAAACAGGAAATATAAAGCGAAAATATTTTTTAGGTTTCCATAGAGATTACCTAAAAGGAAATAATAAATTGACAACAAATTCCTACATTCAACAACAGATGCCAGAAACTAGTGGAATATCACCTCATGGATGCTAAGGGAAATGCTAGTCCAGTGAGCCACTCACAAGTACCTGGACTGCAATCAAAGGGAGAAATGGAAGGATACACAGCCACAGATTCATGAGGCAGGAAATTACCAATTACACGGAGATCCTCACACAAAACCTAAAAATTCACTAACGTAGATCCCCACACAGAGAATAATAAAATGTGTTGTTTAGGGAAACAGTAAACAAGGCAAGATTAAATTTGGCACACACGCACACATACACACACACAAACACTGTTCGCAGAGATTATTTTCAAAGATTGGCAAAATGCGAACACTATCCACAAATAATTTATTTTAAAGTGGAGCTCATCATATTGGTAAAATGGAAAATGTCTCATAGCTCATGAGCTGTTTAGAAGTCAGAAACATAAAAATATGTATCAATGTATGGAATCATGTAGAAAGATAGATGATAGATAGATAGATAGATAGATAGATAAATAGATGATAGATAAATAGATAGATGTAAACTGAAAACTAGAGGAAATCGTTAAAGGAACAGAAATGCAGCTTGAGTTTAGAGGGATCAAAGGAGAACTAGAAAATTTCAGTAATGCCATAATGCCAGAGAGTTTAAAAAGATGTAAAGCAAAATAGGTTTCAGCATGAAAAATGCAATGATTGAAAAACAAGTCAAAAAAATGCATCAAAAAACTATGTCAGATATATCTATCGCTATATTTATGTAGCTATATCCATATAGGTTTAGATAGACACGGATATGCAGATGGTTTAGATTGATGCTATAGATACAGCTCATCTAGATATACATATATGTATACTAAACATATATATGTATACATAGAGATAAATTCATTCTCCTGGATTTTCAGAATAGACATTAACTCCTTCTAGCTCCAGGCTCCAGCAATCAGCCTGCCTTCACCGGGCTACTCTTCTTTCCAGCTTCCCAGTGAATGAAGAGAGCTCAAAGTGAACAAGGGATATCTCCAGCTTAAACCTGAACAGAAACTGGCAGTATGGACAGGATATCACCCCCGAGTTCCTCTTGGACTCAGCTTCTCCCTCTACATGTCTGTTGATGGCCTCACTGATGTGCACTACTGAGCTGGCCACAAGAACTAGGTAGCTGCTTTTCAAATAACCTCGAGCCTTAGTACATGGCAAATCCACAGGAAAGCTGAGGCCAACAACTGCCTTTGAACTCACCACAAGGCCCCTGCCCCTCCCCCCATCTCCTATTGCCGCACACCAGATAGAGGAACTGCACAGAGTGTGATGGGACCGTACACTCTGATGTTGGTCTCTTTAGTCCCATTATAGACTGTTTAAAGCCAGTGTTATAAAAACCCTATCAGTCTGGGCCAGAGACAAGGGAGGGTTTGAGAGGAGAGAACCAGATGGCCTATGCTAGCAGTGATCTACTTAGCATTCTAGGCTACTTGCCTCTGCTATCCTAGCAAAGAAAACACCATGATTCTATAAGCAACGGACCAAAACAATCTTACTTAGCAAAGTATGTAACTCAGTAAGTGATTGTTGGCTTCACACAGGGGTTGGGTCTGTTTCAGAATTCTGACTGCAATTAAAACTGTAAGTTTCCTTAAGCTGCCTCCTTCTACAGACCCTGAACCCATACACTTAGCCTCACTTCTAAAATAAGAGGCATAGAAAGAATAGGACTCTGAAAAATCTGCAGAGGATGAACCTGTATGTCCCTCTTCTCAAACCACTCTATACATAAACCTCTGGCCAATGACAATCAACTCTAGTTCAGTGACATAAGCCTAGGAGCTTCTGTGGCCTTGCACCCTGAGCATTTACATTCAGTGATGCCTCATTCAGTCTTTAACACAATCCCCAGGTCTACTCCGCATTTTAGTTTTCATCCCAGTCAAGGTTTGTGTTGCTCTTGTTTAGCTAACTAGAATTATGCTCATTTTGATTTTTCTATTTTTAATGAATTTGTGAGGGGTTAGGGCTATGGCTTAAACTAGCCTAGCATGTGCTGGTCCCTAGGCCAATCTCTGGTGCTGAAAAAAAAAGAAAAGAAAAGAAAATTTAAAAGAGCTTTCTGATAACTTTACATGAAGGGCTGTTAATGTATCTACCACAATGCGTGGAAAAAAAATGAATGCTTGTTACTATGGCTTAAGATGTTTCTATCGTCAATTATTATTTTGATCATCAACTTGAAAATGAGCACACATGTCTAGCATATAAAAGTGGATATTTAGATCTGAATGTACTGCAAAGTAGACCATCACCTTTAATCTTTTAAAATTATCTGTGTTTTAACTAACACAGCAATTACAGGTATACAAGGAACAGTGTGACAAAGCAATAAAGTCAAACAGCATATGAAATATGAGTGTAATTGGCCTATCTGTTACCATATTTACCACAGGTTTCTGGGAACATTCATACAATAGAAGCTTTAATATAATATGATGTCAGATGCATTGCTAATAAGCATGTATAATTAGCTCCTCATTTAATAGTTATTTTGAAGTCTACTGACATGATTCAGTGTTCAGCCCACAGCTGAGAAACACAGGTGGACTCTCTAGACAGTCCGACAATGACAGAGATCACAGGATGAGTACAAATCTTTAGCTGTGATTTTCAAGGGATGTTGATCTTCCGTATGAATCACAAACAGGCAATTCCCATATGAGAAAACAAATTCGGAAAAGCTTTTTTTTTTTTTTTTTTTTTTTCAGTGCACGAATTTCAGATTTCGAGAAAGAACAACCAGGATAGTATTAACTTAAAACTGTGTCTTAGATACTTAAAAACATGTCAGTGCTCACAGGATAGCCACTGGCACTACACAACTTTCACTTGTAAATTTGAAGAGATATTATACAAGGGAGTGACCAACACCATCCCTTTAAAGATCCAGAAATTAAGATAAAGTGAAAAAGTATACACACATACGCATGCACAGGCGCGTGCGCGCACACACACACACACTATAAATATATGCATAATACAGGGATGATCCTAATCCCGAGCTCATTCTACAAATTCCCACTGTCTTTAAGTTAGATAATTCTTTCAATTAGAAAAGACAACATCATATTAGGCACTACGCTGACCTATTAAGCACAAACAAAAGCACAGTCTTTCTTTCTCTACAGTTATACAAAGCGGGCCCTCTGTAAGTCATCTGCTATCCTTGAAGAGTGGTTGACAAGGGAAAGAAAAAGCATTTCACTTCTTGAAAGAAACAGAGGGGTAAATTCCAAACTGTACTCTCCGGAAGCTGAAACTCAATGTAAGAACATACAGCAAAGTAACTGGCACGACCTGTAACATCCAAATCGTAAAATCCTTACAATAGCATACACATACACACACACACACACACACACACACACACACACACGAGTGAACTACTTACTGAGCTGTAGAGATAACCTTCCCCATTCATGGCCACGTAGAGGCTGGCTTTCACCCCTTGGATGGCCACCACACGCAGTCCCACAGGAATTAGATTGAAGAGGGCTAGAAGCAAAAAAAATTTAAAAAGAAAGAAAGAAAGAAAAGAAAAGAAAGAAGGAAGAAAAAAGATTAGTAACTGTATGAATAAATCATGTTGCTTTTTACAATATTCTTTGAATTTTCAGTGTCAAAATCTATTTATTGGAAATGTTATGGAGAAAGGGTGGAAAGGGAGAGGGGAGGGAGGGAGGAAGACAGAATTAAAACAACAAGGGGAACTACACTGCCTCATTTAATCTCTGCAAGGCCACTAATTAGTCATAAAAACTCCAGGAAGTTCTGAGACTCAATTAGAACAAAAATCCTAAGTTAGAAGGACTGTAAGGGTCTACCTGGATCTGTATGTCTAGAACTTATTTCTAAAAAAAAAATCAACTGCAACCATAATCTCTCAGTAGTAGAAAACAACCAATATTCTTAAAATGCAGTAAAACACCACAGAGCCTATTTCGGTCTTCTTGCTGTGATCCTGCAAAGATGTTGAGCACAACATTAGACACAGTCATAGACTGACAGGAAGCAACAATGGGGAGAGCATGTCTCTTGATACTCTGAATCTTTGCACGTAAATGAGGATACCTTGATAGCCAACAAGGTGGTTTGAATGACAGTGGCCCCATAAGCTTCTATATTTATATGCTGGTCTCTACTAGGTGGACTGACTGTTTGGGGGAGGGATAGGAGGTGTGACCTTATTGGAGGAGGAGGAGTGTGTCACTGGGGATAAAGCCCATGATGAGTCCAGCCTCACTCACTCTGCCTCCTGCAGGTGAGTTCTCAGGGAAGGCACAGTGCCCTGTCTATCAGCTTGCTGCTCTGCTCCCTCCCCACCCTCTGAAACTGTGAATGAGGTTCCAATTAAATGCTGTTCTTTCATAAAGTGCCTTGGCCTTGGTGTCTCTTCACAGGCATAGGATGATAACTGAAACAAGCGGACAGGCGATTCATAGATAGTTTGAGTGACTAAAGATATAAGTCATAGCTAAAGAAAAATATACTGTATAAAACATTAAAAATTAAGGTGGCAAGTTGATTTAAACAAGGTAAAATCAAGCAGGAATAATGTGGTCTGTATGTGTTCACGTTGCCTGGAGCTCAAAATATTAAGCCAATGTGTCCACTCTCAGAAAAACAAATGCATGGCCCAGAAAAGACAAAGACTATGCCCTGTGCTCCTTCTAGCAATGCCTTGCTATAAAGCATATGTCATAGCCCTAGTTCCAGTAGCTTTTGAGGTTACAGAATGAGCATAGGCAGAAAATACAACCCTGAACATATCTGTGTCACACACAGGAGAAAAGCAACCACCTCGTTAGACTTTGTAGATGGAACTGCAGAGAGGCCTTGAATACCTCATCACTACATCTGTAAGAGAGAAGCTCTTGCAGCCCTCTTTAACAAACTGACCAGCAGTCCATATCTTCTATGCAGATAAAATTCCATCAGTTCACCCATAAATGGACTCAGTTGCTTCCACCTGGCTTCTGTCAACTTGAGACAGAAAGCTATCTAGATACACAACACAAACACAAGCATATAATGTGTTTGGATCTTACTCCAAGTGTTCAGTTGAGACTTGCAGAAGATGAAGCCCTAGACTACAGGTTTCCTGGAGCAGGATGGGATTGATTCCTAGCTGCTAACACTGGCTAAGTGTCTCTGCCTTTCTGAACCTGATTTCTCACTTGTCATGGAAGTTTAAACTATGTTGTAATAGTTGCTTAAGGATTACTTGTTGATTCTATTTAGAGCTGAGCTAAGTTAGTCCTTCCTATAGGCTCACCATTTATCTTATACAGTATAAATTGTGAAAGAAATATAAGACAGTCTACTTAATCAGACAAACCTTACCTATGTTTATTAGGTTACATATGGAGTGACCTAGTATGGTATACAATTTATTTATATAATTAAATGTAACATCAGCTTCTCTATGTATAGTTTGTATGTTGGGGAAGTTCAAGAGAAAATTTTTAAAGAGGCCTGCGGCCTGAGGAATATGGAAAATGTTCCCCACAGAGCACAAAACTGCAGCTAACACTTAGGAAAGGAGAAGGTTAGATTCGTTCTTGGGAGAAACGAGAAAGCACAGCATGTGAATGAATAAGGATGCTCCTAATCATAGAAATTTAGACTTCGCAAAACGGATGCGAGGAGCACGACCCATGAAGACTAGAGCAGCATCACACAGATTAAAAGACAAAGAGTGTTGAAGGTAGATGTTTCTAGACGAGCCACTCAGAGTCACACGCTTTTATATCCAAGTACCCTCCATGTGTCTTTGGTTTCCTATCTGTAAGACAAGCATAACAACGTACTGCATAAGACTATATGAAGAAGAAGAAGGAGGAGGAGAAAAAGAAGAAGGAGGGGGAGCAGGAGAAAGCACTATGCTCTTAAAGGTGTTTCATAAAAAGTTATTTAACATTAACAGTAATCAACATTCCTTTTATGTATATGGGTTTACACATGCCACAGAACCCCACCCTCAGGTGTCTGCGATCATCTTCCACCTTATTTTGAGGCAGGGTCTCTGGGTTGTTCCCAGCTATGTTTGCTACTCTATCTGGCCTGAGAGCTTACAAGTATTTTATATCCATCTCCCATCTCATCACGGAGCTATGGGATTACCACACATTACCATATCCAACTGTACATACAGACTCCGGGGATGCAAACTCAGGCCCTCACATCTGTAATCCCCGCACTTTACTCACTGAGCCATAGCTCTAGCTCAGTATTTAATAATTCTAAATAACAAGCTATGATGTGACATATGTAAAAAAAAATCAACATATTTCCTTAGTTGTTTGGTTTTTTTTTAGTTTATACTCAGCTACTTGCTTAATACTTCAGAAGATAATATTTTATAGCTATGCATTTTTAAGATGCTTATAAACTTATCAACTGTACTAGATCCTACTTCATAAATCCCATGAAGAATTTCTGGCAGAATGAGTATTGCATCAATTTTCATGACAAATTCAGAGAGGCAAGTGATGTTAAAGTTACTCAGAAAGAAAGAAAGAAAGAAAGAAAGAAAGAAAGAAAGAAAGAAAGA